ACGTGTGCTCTTCCGATCTAATAATATGGATTCGATACAGTAAATCAATAAATTCAATGTGTGAATCAAATAAAACGTTTCATTAGTAACAATTATTCGTAGGATTGATCACTAAAGATGTATTTGCTTATAAATTGTCTGCACATATGTATGTACGTTCCTATCGTCTTACATTTCATTGGATCCAACCCAAAACAAAAGTTGCGCGGCGATACCTGCGCAAAGACTCAGTTTTTCGCTGAGTGGACCTACTGGTTATACTGGATGAACGCAACAAATCTGCGATATGTTCTGTGCTTGTCTACACGGGAACGCTCGACGCAGGCGCAAAGCAAGCGCAAAGACACGCGTTAAAATCACAATTACAACGTTTAATTTAAATATTTTCAACGTTCACACTCGAAATAACACTCAAAAGCGATAACACAGCCGCGACCCAAATCAAAATAACTACAATCTTGAAAAGTGAGCGAGAAAATAATCGGCGTGGCGTAGCGTTGGCGCAGGCGTTGGAAATAAAATTAGTTCATTTCCATTGCGCCGCTACGACCGAGACAATTCTCTTAAAGCGTTTCTTTTAAAGCGACAATTAGCTTAAAGGTTTACATAGAGATGTAAACGTAGACGTAAGAAATTGGGAAGATAAGAATGTTGGATTACCGTCCACATTGAAACGTAGACATAGACGCAGACGTAGGCGTAGAACGTAGAATATTAAAATTTTGATATTTTTCTACGTCCAGTCAATCACGAGAGAGGTGGACCATTCGCGCGATTGCATGAACTCGGGCCTCTAATTTCTTTAGTATACCCTTTTTTTCAAGAAAATGTATGAAATGGAAAAATTAGAGTTATTGAAGTGTTCTTTACTTCTAACTGCAGTTGTAAAGATTTGTCGATCTTTGCGAAAGAAAAAGCGTAATAAGCGGCGATGGTGAGTTCGTCCGTTATTGAGGACTCAGGGAAACTCAAAGTCAATTTTATATTTTATATATGGACGAATTTAGAAGGCTCGTGCGCAGCAGCTTGCCTACGTCACATTTGTGCAGTTTCGGCAACGTTCGGCGTATTTCGGTCGGATAAAATATGGCTGCCAAATGGCCGGACGGCGGACGCTTGGAGCTGTTTGGTATTGCAAGCGCACATGCGAACATTGTTTAAATTTTGTATGTTCGAAAACAATTACCGTATAAAGTTTATATTAAAATTTTTACTGCAATGAGTACTTGTACAGTAAAAGGATGTACAAATAGTGTTATATATTTGAACGGGTGGAACCGCAATAATATATGCCTTGATAATGTATTACTGTAATGAGAATCTTCTTTTATTTCACACATACATCAACCGTCTATAACCTTCTTTCATACTGACTAGGATCCCGGCTCAGGCATGCCAACTTGGTGCATGCTACCTCCCAACATCCCCTCTTCTTAGTAGAGCACATAATCATTTAGGAATCCCGGTGGTCTTATTCTCCTGGGACGTGCTTCTAAGATTTCTTCATGTGCAGATTCATCTTCTATGGATGATATCGAGGTTCTGGGCGTTACAAAGTTCTCACTTTGATCATCATCATCCAAATCCAAGTGGTCAACACGGAATTCTTCCATTAATAAGTCTAGTGGTAGTTTTGTGTTGGAGTCCGTTCGACCATCTTCATCGGAGTGTCTATAGCCATGAGTTGATTGGTATGGCATCGGATAAGCGGTTGCCTCCTATTTGAGTCCAAGACATTGTACATGACGTTACCGACCTGTTCTGTAATGACGCCAGGTGTCCATTCCCATGTGTTGTTAGTGAATTGTTTGGCGTAGACCAAATCACCACGGTTGAACTTCCTGTCTTTTGCTCCATGTTGTCTATTAAACTGCAATTCTTGTTTGGTATTGCGTCGTGGAGTCCCTGGTTGTTTGGTAGGTTTAAGTAGATCTAGAGTGGTCCTCAATTTCCTACCAATCATGATTTCTGCCGGTGATTTCCCGTCTATATACTTGTTCGGAGTATAGCGATACGTTGTAAGGAATGTATTTAACGCTTCTTCTAACTCCTCTCCTTCGCTGATTTTTAGTATACCTCTTTTAAAAACATCTACGAAGACCTCTGCCTGTCCATTAGATTGGGGATTATACGGTGCTGTCCGGAAATGTTGTATGCCGTTCAGTTCGCAAAACTCTTGAAATAGCTGACTTGTAAACTGTGTATCATTGTCTGATACAATAGTTTTTGGTATGCCAAATCTTGAACAAGCATCTTTGATAAGTTTGAGTGTTTGTGATAATGTAATTGTTTTTGTCATATATATTTCGGGCCATTTGCTTTTGGCGTCCACTATTACTAGAAAATAGTTGTTATGGAAAGGCCCTGCAAAATCTACATGTATGCGCTCCCAAGGAGCATCCGGTATTGGCCATGATTGCAATAACGTTTTGATCGGTGATTTCTTCGCAATGGCGCATTTGTTACATGTTCGTACCGTGTGTTCGATGTCACTATCGATTTTTGGCCAATAAACGTAACTTCTTGCCAACGATTTGGCTTTTTCCATTCCTGGATGTCCTTTATGTATTTGACGAAGTACCTTATTACGTAGCTGTTGAGGTATTACTACGCGTTCTCCCAACATTAGGCTGTTATTTACTATTAGTAATTTGTCACGTCTGACATAATATGGTTGAATATCATCAGTAATGTCTTTTTTATTTTATAGCCATCCATGATTTAAATGGTTGATCACTGACTGAAGTGTTGAATCATCTTTGGTTCCATGTTGTATGTCCTCAAATGTCACTGTTAGTGCCTTAATTGAATCTTGCTGAATTTGTTTCACAGCTGCCTCCATATGGATCGTAGCGATGACTGACTCTTCGTTGGGTTGCGCTCGGGGGTTGATCAATCTGGATAAGAAATCAGCATAGCCAAACGAATCTGTGAAAATGTATCTGATCTCGAAATCGTATAATAATAATGTGCACGACCATCTCTGCAAACGATTCGCTGTGTATACTGGAATGCCCTTTTTGTTTCCAAAAATATGTAATAAAGATTTGTGGTCAGTCTCCAGAATAAATTTTCTCCCGAAGATTAATTTGTGGAATTTAGTGACTGCGAAAATGAGGGCTAACGCTTCTTTCTCAATTTGACTGTAATGTCTTTCAGTCTCGTTGAGTGTCCTTGATGCATGATAAATAGCTTTCCGACTGCCGTCGGGGTATTTGTGAAATATCACTGCACCTATGCCTGTATTACATGCGTCAGCTGCCACTATTATAGGTGTAGATGGATCATAGTGTGTTAACAATAATTTACTTTGTAACACATCTTTTAGTTGATCAAATGCCTTTTGGCATTGAGGAAACCAATTCCATTTTGTATCTTGTCGAAGCAATTGGTCCAGTGGTCCTCTCAACTGTTGCATCTTATATACGAATTTCCCATAGAAGTTAATGGCACCAAGAAATGCTCGAAGTTCATTGATATTATTGGGTGGCAGCATCTCTCTGATACAACTGATCTTGTTTGGGTCAGGTTGCAGTCCATGTTCATCAATAAGATGTCCAAGAAATTTCACCTGGTTTGTGAAGAACTGGCATTTGTCGGGACTTAATACGAATCCATAGTCCTCGATTCTTTGTAGTAGTTGAGTTAGATGTTCCATATGTTCTGTCGCTGTTTTGCTGCATATAATTAGATTATCTAAATATGCGCTGGCGAAAGGCAGGCCGGAGATCATTGCATCAATGATTTGTTAAAATGCTCCTGGTGCAGATTTGACACCAAATGGTAATCTTTTAAATTTGAATAGCCCGCGATGTGTATTGATGGTTAACAATTCTTGAGACTCTTCCTCCACTGCCAATTGAAAATACGCATCTGAGAAGTCGATTACTGTGAAATATTGTTTACCCGCTAACTTGGCAAAAATGTCGTCAGGAAGTGGTAGTGGATGTTTATTAGGTTGTAATGCGGCGTTCAATCCAGTGGAATAATCAGCACATATGCGAATCTTCCCGTTAGGTTTGTTGACCGCTACAATAGGTGCTGCCCATAATGAGAAATCTGTCTTCTCTATGATGTTTAGCTTCTCGAGACGTAATTCGGCATCAATCTTGGGTAACGCTGCGTACGAAACGGGGCGCTTCTGGATATAAGTAGGTTTAGCATTCGGTATCAGATGTAGTTTTACTTTTGTTTTGGTACAAAGTCCTAAATCCTTTTTGAACACTTTAGGAAATCTTGTGATTAATTTAGTAACGTGTTCATCCGATGACTGTGTCTTGACAGCGTGGCAAATTTTGTCTATTGGAATAGACCATAAACCAAATAGATTTATCTATTCTATGTCGAGTAAATTCAGTCCTAGCACCTTGGTAATGTAGCATTTTCCTGTTTTTGTTATTCCATTTATTGTGATGTTACATTCCATCTCGTGAGTAATTTCTAGCTTGTCACCAAATGCATTATGCGCTGAAAATGACGTTACTTTTGCCGTTGGTTTCCCTAGAAGTTGTCAAGTCTCCTGTGAAATAAGTGTTATATCCGAAGCTGTATCAATTTGAAGTTTAACGTCTTGCGCGTTAATTTGAATTGTGACGAATTTCCACTTGCTTTGGAATTGAATTTGATTTACGGAAATGACAACATTAGATTTTGCTGTAGATTTATATTTATCGTCTGCTTTCTTGTCAGGTTTCCTCTCTGCTTTATTGTTAGGTTTTGATTTGCGGGCGCTAGCGCAATACCCTTCCTTGTGCTCTATCTTCTTGCAATCCTTGCATTCATGCTTGAGATAGTCGCAATATTGAGCGTAATGCATACCTCCACAATTCCAGCATGGATATTTTAGTGTATCTGATGCTTTGGGTTGCGGTTTGTCTTTGACATTCCTGAAAAAGGTTTGCTTTTTACGTTCGATCTTGTTTACATTAGGCTGCACTGGTTTTTCTACTAATGCTGAATCTAACTTGAGTGACACGATTCGCTGGCATTCATTTACTAGATCGTGAAGTGTGACTGGATTTTCAGCAGAATGCGCTTCTAATTTACGTAACAACCTCGCCCTTATTTCAAAATCCTTGGCTGCCTGTAGTCCCGAAATAAAAATTAAACATTTAAATTGTTTGGATCCTAATTCTGTAAATTTGAAATCTTCGCAGCTCCTATTGACTATGCCTGCATAAGTGACAAAATCGTCATTATCATTTTTCTTTGTTTTTAAGCAGTTATAACGTCTACTAAAAATTGTGATTTGGGCAGAGAGGATTTGTTTTAATTTATCCACTGTAGTCTTAAAATCGAAATTTTTTGTTGATTTTGGAAGAATGTAATTGACGTACTTGCGTGTGCGATTTTTGATCCAATTTACGTAACAGCAATCGTATTTGTGCTTGTTCGTCCATCTGGGCACGTGCTGCTATGAATGCGTCCTCGTACCTGTTGTACCATTTATCGAAGGTTAGACCATTTTCAGGGTCATAACTGAATTCCTGGATACTGTTGGCTAATGCTTCAATTACGAGTTCGTTATTCGCTGCTGACCGTGTAGTTGATGGATTGGATTGAATTGATTGTTCCAAACGCAAGAGACGTTCATCTTGTTTAGTCAGCAACGCAGTTATTGCCTGAAGTATTTTCTCGGACGACATGTTTGGTTATGTTACAGCAATGTCTGTGTAAGAAAAAAAAATAAGATTTTTATTTATTTATTTCTTTTTTCCAATATCACTCGTCGCCAATTGTTATATATTTGAACGGGTGGAACCGCAATAATATATGCCTTGATAATATATTACTGTAATGAGAATCTCCTTTTATTTCACACATACATCAACCGTCTATGACCTTCTTTCATACTGACTAGGATCCTGGCTCAGGCATGCCAACCTGGTGCATGCTACCTCCCAACAAATAGTTACCGAAAAATTAAAATGAAAGGGAAGATGGTGAAATTTTTTACATTTCCGAAAGACGATGAAATTGCTGCAAAGTGGCGTGAGGTATGCAGAAATGGAGTAAATGTGACTTATGGTAAGATTCAATGATTTCATGTTAACGTATTAGTAAATTAATTGCTTATATATAGTATAGTAATAATTTATTTTGAGGTTATGTTGTACATAACATTACATTTATGTATTTTGTTTGGAATGTAAATTCATAATATTTACATTTTATTAACTTCTAACATAATACGTATCTCGGTTTGCTCGTTTACATTTGTTCCATTATTCTGCAGGGAGGATATGTTCTAACCATTTTGACGCATCGTGCTACGATAAGTCTGCACAGTAGATAGCTTTATAATATTTTCCTTTGAGAAGAAATTAAGACTGGATGCAATTCTCACAATGAATTTTTTTGCGGAACCGTATGTAGTTAAAGAAATTCGTATATCAACATGCGCCAAAAATGCATCCAATAAGGCAACATTGTCGGATAGTGTTGCTGATGTAAAAATATCAACATCAATTCCGAAATTAATATCGGAGAATATTGATAAAATAGAGCCATCAACGGATTGTATTGCCGAAGCAGAACCATCAGCGTTAACTCCACAATCAATGTCGAAGAGTAATATTGAAACAGAACTGTCAACATCAACTGCCAAATCTAAACCCACAGCATTAGAGTGTATTGGCAATGCTATGTTAACACTATCAGCTACTTCTGTCGATTACCTTACGATAATGTAAGTCTGATTTAAAGGCCAGTATTCATAGTCGGTTCTTATATTTAAAATCGTCTTAAGTACAATCTTAAGATGACATAAACCAATCACAGAGCCGTATTATCGTCTTAAGATATAACTTAAGACAGTCTTGAAATAAGAACCGACTATGAGTACCAACCTAAATTTGTAACTAATTGAGTTTCATAATTAATTCATTGTTTATATAAGGTTAAAAGGGGACTTGGTTAGATGGCGTGTTTGTGCATGGTTGTGTGTAGCGAGCGTGTACGATTTAGAGAGTGCGTTTTCTGGAAAGTAGGGTGTATAGAAGAGCGTGGGGTCGAGAATTAGGTAGGAGAGCGTACAAAGAAGGTAAGGAATTGGAGGCGTAGGTAGGCGAGTGGAGATAAGGAAGGTCGAGCAGTGTGAAGTGGCGGGCGAATTAGTGAAGTTAAGGTGAGAAGAGTTATGGCGGG